TGATGACTCACCACTACCCTTGACGTTGATCTGCCCCTAACCCTAGGTCTAGGTTTAATAGCAATGATCAACAGGTGAGATTTCATTCCTAAAAAAATCACGATTTGGAGTTTGGGCCAGGATTTCACTAACATATGTGTCTTTTAATGGGGACTCCATGCTTAATTCCATGAATAAAGAAAATAAGGGAATAAAAACTTAAAAAGCTAGACCTAGGCATGCGCGGTATATATATACAATTTTTTAATTTGTTTTATATTTCTTTCATTAGTGTCAACCATACAGGGAATTCAAAAGAAGACCATATTAAGTGATTCGGTTAAAACGAGTTGTTGTGTAGGACACAAAAATTTTTAAATGAAAAGTAATTCTGTAAAGAGTATCTCTCTATTTGGAATATAGGGACCGTCATATATTTATTTGGCACTTTGTAATTAGTAGTAACAATTAAGCAGTGAGAAATAATCACGCATAAAGAGTAACAATTCAATTCGGTAATAACAAGTTTAAAGGGCCAGGACCAAAAAAATTTTGTTGAACTATTACAAAAGACTTTGGTAATAGCAAGTAGGGGCACAAACAAAAATATCAAAATGAAATATGGTGACTCTGCACTTTAGTAAACAGGCCAGCTTGAAGAAAGTAAGGTTATGTTTGGCTAAAGTGACTGAATATTTGTTGATTATTCTGAAAGCAAAAGTGTGTAGTGCAATAGTTTTCCTATAGGGAACAAAGCAAAAGCTCCAAAGGATAAACAAAATTAAAAATAAGGCTACCAAACAGACCTGGCCCTAATATTAAAAAATGTGAATGGTGCTTGATGTAGTTATTTAAAAATGTGATTACAAAAAAATAATATTCAAAAAAGCTAAGAAATATTACAAAAAACGGGGCACCAGTTCTAAAGGGCTAGGAACAAAAACATTTGATTGAACTATTCCAAAAAACTTTGGTAATAGCAATTAGGGGCACACAAACAAAAAGACAACATAAATGAATACAAACACTCTTAGTTTGTAGTCCTAATAAATTATTAACAATCATGTTTGTTTTTAAATTTTGTCATTAGTGTAAGCTTTATAGAGATTTCTAAAGAATACTATGACAAGTGATTGAGTTAAAATGAGTTGCTGTCTAGGATAGTAAAATATCTTGAATAAGAAGTAATTCATTAGATTAATTTATCTCTCTATTGCCAACTAACTCTTTTTCTGATCCCAACCTAGCTAAGACGAAATGGGACTGGATTGTGTCCATTTTTTCGGTTTTGGTTTTAAGACTGACCCTGCCGCTGCTGATGACTCACCACTACCCTTGACGTTGATCTGCCCCTATCCCTAGGTCTAGGTTTAATAGCAATGATCAACATGTGAGATTTCTTTCCTAAAAAATAATGATTTGGATCTTGGGCTAGGATTTCACTAACATATGTGCCTTTTAATGGGGACTTCGTGCTTAATTCCATGAACAAAGAAAATAAGGGAATAAAAACTTAAAAAGCTAGACCTAGGCATGCGCGGTATATATATATATATATATATATATATATATATATATATATATATATATATATATATATATACAAATTTTTAATTTGTTTTATATTTCTTTCATTAGTGCCAACCATATAGGGAATTCAAAAGAAGACCATATTAAGTGATTCGATTAAAACAAGTTGCTATGTAGGACATAAAAATTTTAAAATGAGAAGTAATTCTGTAAAGAGCATCTCTCTATTTGGAATCTAGGGACCGTCATATATCTATTCGGCACTTTGTAATTAGTAGTAACAATTACGCAGTGAGTAATAATCACGCATAAAAAGTGACAATTCAATTTGGTAATAGCAAGTAGGGGCACAAAAAATCGGTTTTAAAGGGCCAGGACCAAAAAATTTGGTTGAACTATTACAAAAGACTTTGGTAATAGCAAGTAGGGGCACAAACAGAAATATCAAAATGAAATATGGTGACTCTGCACTTCAGTAAACAGGCCAGCTTAAAGAAAGTAAGGTCATGTTTGGCTAAAGTGACTGAATACTTGTTGATTATTCCGAAAGCAAAAGTGTGTAGTGCAATAGTTTTCCTCTAGGGAACAAAGCAAAAACTCCAAAGGATAAACAAAATTAAAAATAAGGCTACCAAACAGACCTGACCCTAATATTAAAAAATGTGAATGGTGCTTGATGTAGTTATTTAAAAATGTGATTACGAAAAAAATAATATTCAAAAAAGTGAAGAATTATTACAAAAAATGGGGCACCAGAATTCAATTCTAAAGGGCCAGGAACAAGAAAACTTGATTGAACTATTACAAAAAACTTTGGTAATAGCAAGTAGGGGCACACAAACAAAAAGACAACAGAAATGAATACAAACACTCTTAGTTTGTAGTCCTGATAAATTATTAACAATCATGTTTGTTTTTATATTTTGTCATTAGTGTATGCTTTATAGGGATTTCTAAAGAATACTGTGACAAGTGATTCAGTTAAAATGAGTTGTTGTGTAGGATAGTAAAATATTTTGAATAAGAAGTAATTCATTAGATTAGATTATCTCTTTATTTGCCAACTCACTCTTTTTATGGTCCCAACCTAAGATGAAATGGGACCGGATTGTGTCCATTTTTTCTGGTTTCGGTTTTAGGACTGACCTTGTCGCTGCTGATGATTCACCATTACCCTTGACCTGGACCTTCCCCTATCCCTAGGTCTTGGTTTAATAGCAATGATTTGGAGTTTGAGCCAGGATTAGACTAACATATGTGTCTTTTAATGGGGACTCCGTGCTTAATTCCATGCGCGGTATGTATATGCAAGTTATTAATTGGTTTTATATTTCTTTCATTAGTGTCAACCATATAGGGAATTCAAAAGAAGACTATATTAAGTGATTCGGTTAAAACGAGTTGCTGTGTAGGACACAAAAATTTTAAATGAGAAGTAACTCTATAAAGAGCATCTCTCTATTTGGAATTAGTAGTAACAATTACGCAATGAGTAATAATCACGCATAAAGAGTGACAATTCAATTTGGTAATAGCAAGTAGGGGCACAAAAAATTCAGTTTTAAAGGGCTAGGACCAAAAAAAATTGGTTGAACTATTACAAAAGACTTTGGTAATAGCAAGTAGGGGCACACAAACAGAAAGACAACAGAAATGAAAACAAACCCTCTTACTTTGGAGTCTTCAAAAATTATTAACAATCATGGTTGTCGTGGCCTAATAACATATTGACTACAAGCATTTGTTAACTGAAGTGGCATTTTTACAAACACTTTGTGAGCATAAGTATATAGTGTGCGGACTAATTTGATAAATGAAGTATGTGATGGTAATTTGAATTAGATAAACAAGAGAGTGATGAACAATTGCAACCAACAAACATAAAGAACTTTCTATTTTCAAAACTGGGATATCAGTTTGTACTGATGGAGTATTTTTGAATAACATCCGTTTGATTTAGAGATGAAGTAATCCCCAAAAAATGAAATAGTAAGATTCCATACATTCTGGAAAACAAATTGTGTGAAGAAATGGTTTGCTTAGAAGATGCAGAGTTTGATAGTTTTTGAAATGCGTACCTAGGGAGATCGTGAAGTTGGCAGAGCGAAAGGGGAAGAGATGCACAGCCATGCCGCTCTATATATGTGACCATGCAAGTTTTACGGTTAACATAAGAAACTGCACAGAATCGGCGTTCAGTAACCGCAAGTGGGGTGAAGACGGTGCGAGAGACGGAATTGTACCGCGTGTATATGTATGGGATATAATTGACGGAATTTGATGGGAAAAGGACCTAATAACAGTAGTTGGCGCTTATAATATAAGCAAGATATTGCAATTTTTATAACTTTCCTTTTACGTCTACACATTACTATTTTGTTTATCATGCATGGATTAAATGTTCGGCCGGGCATCACACGAGTGAAATACTAATGTGTTCAAAACGAAAAAGGTCATACTTGTGTCACTTGAGAGTCGACTACTAATATTTCAGACATTATGTCTTAAAGTAAAGACAGAAAATAATTCCTATTTACAAGTTACTCCCTCCGTCCCAACTTTTTTTCCAACTTTCCTTTTTGGGTCGTCCCAATAAATTCTTCCAACTTTCTAAAAAAAGAAAGCAACCTATACTGAAAACCCTATTTTGCCCTTCCCTTTTTTAAAATTTTTCTGCACCCCCTTTCTCATTTACCTCATCTGCATCCCTTTCTCTCATTTACTACCTTTGTCTCTCTTTCTCGGACACTGCATTTGTCTCCCTCTCTCATTTTCTCCAACTGTCTCCCCCTATGTAATCTATCTACCCTTCTGCCTCCCTCCCTCTCACAATCTTCTTTAGTGTGAAGCAGACGATTTGGATCTAACCCCTAACTCCACAACTAACCCCTTTAACCGCAGACCCTGTATCGGACCTCCATCCGACCTGCATGGATCAATACTCCCCAGAAGATGATGACCTGCTGATAATTCCAGATAGTGAAGATGATCTTGCAGAGAATGTTTTCGAGAAGCCCACAGAGGTTGTGGTGGAGATTATTGAAGAGGTCATCGTCCCTGACAGTGAAGAGGTTCTTGTTTGTGACGATGTGGTGGCGGTGGAGATTCCAGAGGCTATGGCAGAGACGGTGGACCCTAATCTGCTTAAAAGACGCATAGAGATTGAATGCACCCTATTCGGAGAAGTCCTCGGTTGGAAGAGTTCCTAAAACTAATGATACCTAAATGGGAAACAAGGATGTGGATGAAAATGGTTATAATGATGTTTAATGTGATCCATGTGGATTGTAAATGGTTGTTTGGTTTGACTACCGGTAGTTAATTCATTGTGTGATTACCATTTGGATTGCCTACTGGTTCTTTATGATTGTGATGAGAGTATCCCTTTCTGTGTACTATTTCTTTAAACATACTGTGATAAAAGTAGGAGGTCTGTGGTATTAGGCCTATGATATGGTAGTTTATGCATGCTACGATGACCTAGTTTTACCCCTTTTTTACCCTCTTCGGCCGAAGGGTTTTATGGGAATGTCAACCCTCCCAATTTTTTGCATAAATTTCTGATCCGAGTCAAAGTTGAAAGTATTTATGGGGGGCTGAGGGAGTACAACGTAACACTCGTTCAAAAAACAAAAAGTTACAACGTAACACAAACTCCTTTGAATTAATCAATTAAACTCAATTATACCATCTTTCTAACATAATTATAACATCGTTCATTATAGGTCGCTCCCTAGCTGTTTCACTGCTGCACATGGTTGCAATCCTGAAGTAGCGGGTCAGATCATTTTCATTCGGACCGTACACCGACAACTTCGAATCAATAATTTCATCGTGCCGGTTTCGTGAGACCATGTTTCTAGCCCATTCCACTAACCTAATATCCCGGCCGTCCTCTCCGGCGAAGGGGAAGTTCGGCCGTATTCCGGTGACAATTTCCAACATCAATACCCCGAAGCTGTACACATCTCCCATCGTGGTGGCCCTCGCCGCACCGTGGATGTACTCCGGCGGCATGTACCCCATCGTTCCGGCCACCTGCGTCGAGACGTCTATGTGGGACCCTTCGGTCTGCCTCGCCAATCCAAAATCTGCGATTTGGGATTCGAAGTTTTCATCCAAGAGCACATTGCTGGCCTTTATATCCCTGTGAATGATCGGACGGTCCAAACTGTGCATATAGGCGAGCCCTTTCGCCACTCCTTTGACGATCTTAACCCTCGTCTCCCAGCTCAGAGGCTCCCGCTGGGCCGATTCTGCCACGTCACTCGCCGACGTGTAGTGAAGCCATTGGTCCAGGCTGCCGTTCTTCACGAACTCGTAAATCAGGACCCGATCCGAACCCGCGGAGCAGTACCCGATCATCTTCACTATATTCGGGTGTCGGATCTTACCGAGAGTCTCCATCTCGGCCCGGAACTCGCGGAAGCCCTGGAAGGCGTCGGCGGAGAGCTTCTTCACGGCGACTTGGAGGCCGGAGGAGAGCTTGGCCTTGTAAACGAGGCCGAAGCTGCCGTCTCCAATTATGAGGTCCGGCGAAAAGTCTCGGGTCGCTTGGACCAGCTCGGGCATGTCGATCCGATTGATATCCGCTGGATCGAACGTTGCGCTCTCGAGAACGGATATGGAGGAAGGCTGACGGCTTCGGTATTTGGAGACTACGCAGAGGATGATGATGCAGGTGACGATGAAGCTCAATACGACGCATCCTGCAGCCGCAACGAGAATTTGTATAGTTGCGCTTACCCCATTAAGACGCAATAGCCCCATAGATGCAGAAATTAAGAGAAAGGTCTGCGGATTGGAGTGGAAAAGAGAGACAGAGATTAGTACATGATTCTGAAGAGAAAGATCATGCCGAATACGACCGGCCATTTACGGCGAGAAGTTTCGAGGAGGATAACATTGACTAGAATTGGAGTCGATGGCCCAACTTAGGTCAAAAATTCTAAAAGACACAACTAAATGACGACTTTTTTTGGACAAATCTTTCTAATCTACTCCCTCCCGTAATATTCTTTTAATTTTCCTTTTAGAACCTTCCCAAAAAATTCTTCTCACTTACCGGACAATTTGTGTGATTCATATTCATTTCATCGTTTTCTTACACAACTACAACTATATATTTCCGCTTTATTCCACTTTCTTATTATCTGTGTCAAGTCAAACTGGGAATAATTTTCAGGGACGGAGGGAGTACTATAGTATCTGTTCTTTTAAGCCCAACATTCTTGAATTGGGATGAGATTTGAATCTTCGACATTCTCTTTGGAAGTGTGACAATGATATCATCCGACCACTATGTAGTTGACAACTACTCCCTCCGTCCCGGAAAATTAGTCCCACTTTGACTTGGATCGGAGTTTAAGAAAGTGGGAATAAAGTGGAAATGTATGGTTGTGGTTGAGTAAGAAAAAGGTAAATGAATGTTAGCCACACAAAACTTTCCAAAAAGGGAAATGGAAACAATTTTTTGAGACGGCCCAAAAAGGAAAATAGGACTTATTTTATGGGACGGAGGAAGTAACTAGTAAGGATGGCTGCAATAATTGTAATTAGTTTAAAGACTTTTTTCCTTAACAGTATTACTTAAAAGACAAAAATATGATTTTGATTTTTTAATTTTTCAAAAAGTGACAAATTTAGGGCCCGTCAGTATGGTTTTGTGTTTTATGTTTTTTGTTTTTAGAAATCAAAAAACTGTTTTGCGTTTTTTATTTTCACTTTTCTGAAAACAGTTTTGGTTTTAGTGTTGATTCAAAATTGTTTCACAAATTGAAATTCCTCTTTTTCCTTAAACAAACGTGATAGAGTATATCTCTAGAGAGAAGTGAGAGCTAGAGAGAGAAGTGCAATAATATGCTTCAATAGAATGAATTCGTAACCCCTATAACTACTCCCAAGGGGAGTATTTATAGAGAAAATTAGGGTTGGGCTCCCAAGCCTTGGGCTTGGGAGGCCCATTTACAACTGGACCGCTACTGGGCCGAATACAAAGCCACTAATGGGCTGTACAAATGAGTAAGTATAAAATCCGATTCTGTGAGGTCTTCGTGGCCGACGAGGGCGTGGCCGACGAGGGCACGGCCGACGAGGGCACGGCCGACGAGGGCACGGCCGACGAGGGCACCCGGGTTCCTTGGACTCAGGACCATAATCCGAGTTGGCCCCTTTTCGGCCGACGGGGGCGTCCTGGCCGACGAGGGCGCCACTCTGTGCCTTGTGCTTTCTGTTCTTCCGAGTATGTGGGTCCGGGGGTTCAGACCCATATACTCCATCAGGAGTCCCCCAATCTCTAAACTGAGACGTAGACGAAGTGAAGGAGAGTAGATTCCTATGCTTTGGTGCCCTTGGCCGTTATCTGTTCCTTGTTGTGGACAGGGGGGCCGTTGTTTACTTTATGTCATTGTTTTTGGACGATGAGTGTCCTTTCAATGGTGGCCGTTGAAAGACACATTTTGCTTGGGCGTTGATGGTTGAAGTTTGTGTTCGGGCCGATGAGGCCACTGAAGTTATTCCTTGCTTTGAGGACGATGGCGTCCTTTCCTTTGGGTGGCCGATGAGGGTGTTTGCGCATTCCTTTTGGCCGTTGCTGGTTGGCCTTCGTGTTCTTGGCCGAAGGGCACGTCATGATTAATTGTTGGCGGGGGACGATGAGTGTCCTTGCCTCTAGTGGCTTGTTTGCCGTCGCTAATGACGTTATGGGCCTTTGGCCGATGAAGCTCCGTTGTGCTGTATGGATGATGTGGCCATGCTTTGTGGTCACATTCATGTTCTTTGTAGTGTTTCCTTTTTGTTTTGCTGAGGCCGGTGTAGTCCTCCAGTCCCCCACTGCTTCAGGCCGAGGAGTGTGAGGGGTGAAGGAGTTGCTTGAGTCCCTGGCCGAAGCGGCCTCTCCGTAGTCCCCCTGAATCCAACTCTCATGGCGATTTTCTGGCCAAGGTAACCCTGTGGGAGAACCCTTGTGCGCAGATCGCGTGTAGAGAGTTATCATCAAAGATCATGACGAGGAGCCGATGGCTTGTGGGCTCTTGGGTCCTTTGATCTTGTGGCCGTTACGTTCCTGGCCGTTGCCGTCTCCTTATTGTTTGGCAGTTGTGATCTTGGCGAGCAAGTGGGACGTTGTGGGCGCTTGCTGACATTTGTAAAGCCAGTGAGCGTGTGTAGGCCGTAGAGTTCGTCCTGCGAGTGGGCTGTTGATATTGAGTTTGGCCCGTTGGTGACGTGGTGGCCCCCCATTGGTGGCCGTTGGTGTGGCCATTGGGGGGTGCCACGTGTAGTGACCGTTGGGTGGGGGGTTCTATAAATACCCCTCCCCCTCCGACGAGAAAACGTATTTGCATTCTGAATTTGTCGAAGTGCTGGCCGATTTTCTAGAGAGATAAACTCCCAAGCCTGTTCTTCGTGTTCTTCGTTGTTCAAGGTTAGTGTTCATCGCGATCTTCCTCACTTTTCATACTTTGCTTCCTAGGTTGTTGATCTAGTGTTAGGCGTTTGAACACCCTTAGATCTTAAGTTAGTCTCCTTAGGCCCGTAGTAGTAGTTATGAAGAGCTTGAATGAAGACTACTACCCCTACGACGACCAGCCCTCCACGAGGTCGCTTGACTACGAGGTGCTCGAGGAGTTCGAAGAGGAGATAGAGCGTTTAAGTCCCTACAAATCCGGAGAGCCGGTGGACGAGGAAGGCGAGGACGAGGAGTCCGCCTCCTCTTCAAAGGGTGAGGACGTAGGTGCGTCCCGAGTGGTGGACGGGGCGTCCACTTCTGCTGTCATTCCGTGCCCGAGGCCGGTGTCTGCCGTGAAGGGAGCAGCTAAACCGAAGAGGGTGAGGAGGCTGAAGAATGGGCCGGGCCTCTCTTATCTGGACCTCACCAACATATTCCTGATCAAGCCGGAGAGCAGTGCGGCCGACTATCTTGTTGCCCAGATGTATGTGGGGCCGTTCGGGCGGGTTAGGGCACCCAGGCCGACGGACCATGTTCTACTTCCGCCACCGGGATACTTTGGAGTATACCCGATGAGTTTTGCTAACGGGTTGAGGTTCCCCCTTCACCCTTTCATCATTGAGTATCTGGACATGGTGGGGCTTCCTCCGGCCTTGCTGACGCCGAACAGTTATTCCTTGATGGTGGGCTTTTTACTCCGGTGTGAGGAGCTGGGCTACAGGCCGACAACGGCCCTATTCATGAATTTGTACCAGATCGGCCGAGGAAGCCACAAGAACTGTGCGGCCTATGCTACTCTTCAACAGCTGCCGAAGAAGAGGAGCTTCACGGATTTGCCTACGTCCATTCATGGGTGGAAGAGCAAGTTCGTGTTTGTGTCCATTGGTGAGAGTGGCACCGAGTTCCCCTCTCTCGGCCATACCGGGAGGTTCAATCTCCATGACTCGCCGAAGAGCTCTATCTTGGATGCTCAGGTGGCGGCTTTCCTGGAAGGGGGGCCGAGGAGCGTGAAGGATTACGTTACTGAATATAAAATGACCGCCCTCGGCTTCTTCAGATACCACCTGTATGGCGATAAGGAGGATGACCTCCAACTCTGGCCGAGGATGACCACCACATTTGAAGAGGCCGACGGCCCGGATTTGGGCATTCCTGCTGAGGCTGATGGTAATTATTTCTTCGGCTTTCTGTTTTTAAGTTTTTGTCCTTTGCCTTACTAATCTGTTGTGTTTTTCCTTTGTAGATTTTGCCATGGACCGTCGTTCCATAATGGCTATTGCCAAGGCCAAAGCGGCCGAGGAGTTGGCTGCCAAGGCGGCCAAGGCGGCCAGACGTGCCGCGGCCGATGGGAGCGGGGCTACTGCTGATGCGGCCCCAAAACCTGCCCCATCAAAGAAGAAGAGGCCGGCCACTAACGGCCAGAAAAAGTTGACTGATGCCGGCCTGAGCGTCTCTAAGAAGACGAAGAGGGCACCTTCCCCTTCTCCGGCTACCGAGGCCGGTACTCTGGCTGTCCCCAGCGTGGACGATAGTGGTCCTGTCGTGGACCTTACTGCTGCTGGCGATGCTGCCCCATCACTACCTCTCGTCCAGGAGCCACGGACGAAGAGGGCCGGCAAGGAGATTGCCGGTGCCACCTACCAGAAGATGGTAGAATACCCCGTCGGCGGGGGTGTCTTCGATGACGTCGTCCTTGGCCATGACGTCCTGGCACAGGCCATGCCGGCCAAAGATCGGGCTTACTTGAGGAAGCTCGGGGACGTGAATGTTTATGAGGGCGGCATGGACCTCCTCGTCCAAGTAAGTTATTGTCCTTTGTAAGTGTTGTTTTTTTTCTTGTCGTCCGTGTAAAACCATTTGCCTGACTTTTGTTTCCCTTGTTTCTGCAGAGTGCCTTCATGCTTATGGAGAGCCACAAGAGGCAATACCGAGAGATAGCTCGCTTGAAGGAGCTGGAGCAGAAGGCCGCCTCAGCCGACGAGGCGGTAGCTTGCCTGGACCGGCTCCGGGAGGATGTCAGGGCGTTGCAGGCCAGGGCCGATGAAGCCGCCGCAGCCAGGGACGATGCCCTGGCCAAGCTCGAGGAGAGCAAAAGGGAGCTCGAGGAGTCCCAAAGGGCCCTGGAGGCCGAGCGGCGCAAGAGCGAGGAGGCCGTCAAGGCGAAGGCGGAGGCGGAGGCCGCCGTTGTGAGGGCTGCTGACGAGGCCGTCGAGAAATTCCTGGCCGAGGGGTGGAAGGCCGATGAGAGGCTCCCCTGGTGCTACGAGGTGGTGGCCGCCAGGCTTGAGAGTTGGGGGATGAACTCCCCCGCCGGCCAGGTGTATTTCAGCTGAGAGATGTCCGTGTATTATAACCTTGGCGAGGAGCGGATGCAAAGGCTCCTGTGTCGGCGGCTCTCTCGTGCTTTGAAAGCCATGAACTATACGTCTGGGTGGGCTAGACGGAACCTGAAGCTGCCGAAGCTGATGAAGGATCCAGAAGAGCAGGCAAAGCTTCCGTTGTCAGAGCGGGAGTCCCCA